TTTGTAATCTGATTGAGATGTGTTTGCTTTGTGTTTAGATTTAATTTGTTTTTGTTTTTTGTTATATTGTTCTATGTTGTTTGATTTTGTGTTATGTTTAATTATTGTTTCACCAGTGAGAAATTTTATTTGATTCCTAATTGTGTTTTCACCAATTTTATTCTGCTTAGCAAACTCTTTTAAGGTAATATTTTTAGAAGTAGGATCTCCTTTTTGTGCTAAAAAATTTAATGCTAATTGTCTTGATCGCATATTATTTAAATTCTTAACTGATGGAATACTGGACTCTGTTAACGTATAATCTTTTTTAATTATTATATTTATCTTTTGTTTAGCCGACTGTTCCCTTTTGGTATTATGAGCCATTTATTATGAAATAATATCTTTCTAATAAATGGGGTATAAAGATTGTCAGATTGATCATAAACAAACATCTCCGAATAATGAGTCGTTATTAAGAAAATGTTCCATTTGTCAAACCATAAAATCTCATTCAAATTTTGTTAAAAGTAAAAATCAGAAATATGGAATCGGATACATGTGTTATGATTGTAAAAAAAGACGAAATGATAAATTTACTTGTAATATATGTTTTATGGATGTCCCGATACGATATAAAAAAAGACATTTCAAAAAAATATGGCATGAAAAATTAGAAAAACATATTAACGACTTAAAAGGATAATCTCATCCATAAATGTTTTTGAATAATTTTTTCCCTAATAAATGGGGCTCTCGAAAGATGAGCTTCGTAAAATGTCCTTTGAGGAAATTATAAAACTTACTAAAGCTAAGTGTTCATCTTTGACACACGAGTTGTCCTCGATGAATAAATATTTTTCAACACCACAGTCCAATAATGAGATTGTACTAAATAAACTAAGTTTAAAAAAAATAAAAGCCATCGCAAAAAAGATGGGGTTAAAAAACTATTCGCAATATAACTCAAAGACTAAATTAGATCTTATAAAATTAATTCTAAAAGAAGAGCTCGTCAATGCAGGCGATTGATTTAATAAATTAAATAGACTCAATATTAAAAAATTAAAATCAATTGCTGAAAAACTAGACCTAAAGATAAAGCAAAATATTAAAAAAACAGATCTACTGAATCAAATTTCAGATAATGTAAACAATGAAGCGATTTTAAATACTGTTCTCAACGAAATCGGATCACCAAAATTAGAGGAAATTTTAGAGGAAACCATGTCAAAAAACGAATCGACTCAGAATACATCGATAAAAGAATTAAGAAAAATTGCTAAAGAAAAGAATATCAAAGGTTACTCTAAAATGAAGAAGGCTGAATTATTACAAAAAATTAACGACCAACCCTTCGCTTTCGAAGATAGTTATTTTACAGAGTTTTCAAAAAAATCTAAAATTAAAATAATAGAA